GGATTAGGAAGCAGAGGAGGCATTGTGGCTCGTCGGTGACGGTCGTAGGGGGCTCTTCGGCGATGGTGGAGCGGCGGCGGAGCACCGGGAGGCCCGCGCGCACTCGCCGGTGGCCTCGGCTCGGCCCGAGGTGGAGCGTGGAGCCCCAGCCACGTGCGCGGTGGCCCACACAGCGGCGGCTCCGATGGCTGGGCTGCTGCGGCGGTCACCCGCTCGGCCGAGGATCGCCGGTCGGAGAGGAGAAGGAGGCGGAGGCGGTGGTTCGCGTGGTTGGTCATGAGGGGGCTCGGAAGCTAGGAGCAGCGGCGACGGTGAGCTCGGCCCACCGGCCATGGCCATGGAGACGCCACGTCCCCGCCACAGAGCCGGAGCGAGGAGAACCACGAGAGGAAGCGGCGAGAGGGAGTGGAGAAGGGATGGAGAGCTCGGCCGAGGCTCTGGTTATCCGCATCGGGCGCAGGGGCACGCGGCATGGAGGTGGGGGCGCTCGGCTCGCATGGCTGCCACGCCCTGGCCACGCGGCGGCATTTTGACGAGCAGGTGGCGAGCGCGATCCAGCGCGTCTTGGAAGCCGTTTTTGGGCTGGTTCGGTAGGGAATTTGATGGTGGGCCTTTAACGAAGTTTGATCTCCATCCGATGCTCTACAAATTTTGTTAAAGGTTCATAGCCATTAGAGCAAAGGATTAAGAGATAAATAGGCCCTAATTTGACAATGTCAATGAATTAATGTCGATCAAAGTAAAGCTCGGTTTTTGTTCATTTTGGGAAGTCAAACTTGGTCCAATTGATCCCATCTTTGGGTATCCTCTTCTCCAAATAATTATCTCCAACTTTTATTTTTGGACCAACTCAAGTTGCTTAGCAAAATTTGGAGAACGCGGAATGCCAATGGCGACGACGATGAATTCCAGACTTAGAAAAATTCTAAGTCTGAAAACAGCCGCTGATTCAATTTTCGAGCCTCTGTTTGACTTAGTTCCAAGTTGATCTGGCTCTTGCTCCAAAAACAAAGTTTGTTCTACTCTACTCAATCTTCAACTTTTATTTAAGGTGCAACTTCAAAACTGGTATATAACCTACTGTTCTACTTTGACCAAAGTAGGATCACGATGAAGCTTAAATTATCCTTTTTTGATCCATTGGAGCATTTTCTGGCCACCTGCTCAACATGAACCCTTCATAACTTTTGTTCATGAGTGCAAGTAGAGTTGTTTGAGCAAGGTACCAAGGTTTGGTTGACTTCATAGGTTTCCATCCACTTGATAAAGCAATTCATGCCAAGATATGACTTATCATTTCATGTGACTTTTTGATTCCAAACTTCATGAAACTTTTCCACGGGTCTAGATGGATGCATGGGGATGTAATGTACATGGAATAAGCATGTTTAACATTACTCTTGCATAATCTTAACAAGGGTCCATATGTAAGCAATGTGCGTGGCCCAAGTTTAAGTTGGAGCTCCATCATGTAAATTTGATCTTGACACCTTGATTACCACTTGACATGTCATGTTTGAGCTCAAACCCAGTGCTTAACTGGTGATAAACACCTGGGGTGTTACAAGAACAGAGGAGGAAGAACAATGCAGTGGAAGTACCTCAAGCTGAAGGTTTGCTGGTCAGTGGAGAGCCTAGCAGGAGGAAGGTGGAGGCCAAGAGCAAGAGAAAGAAGAAGGTGCAATGTTTCAAGTGCGGAGATTGGGGAACATGTCAAGGAATGTCTAGGAAAGGAGGAGGCAAGTGCTAATGTTGTAGCATTAGTGGGTGACTCGAACAATAACAGTAATCTTCTCTAGTCGGTTGAGAGGATGGCATTTGTGGCTGTACAAGTTGCAAGGGTGCAGTGCCGCAGGTGGAGTCACTGGGATGGAGTTGCATGGTAGCAAGGTTTCCTGAGGCGGCAGGTTTGAGTCCAAATCAAACTCGTCGGGCTGCTCTTTGTGAAGCGGCAAAGTCGACAACTCAAGTCCGGAGTACATGGTTGTTCGCGCATGACAAAGCATCAAGGTGGCGAAATATTCGCTAAGGTGGATTGTTAGAAATATGTCGAATATTTATTTGTTCTAATGGGGTTATAGTGGACTTATGTTGTAATTAGCAGTATAGGTTTAGGTGAGCTAGGTGTTGGTTCTTATAACTCAGCCCCTCTATAAAAGGAGGGGGCTACACTTATAACCCACCACTCGAGAGTAGCAACACAAATGTGACAGGCTCGCGGGGGGTGCCGGCGGTTTTGGCCGGCGCCCCGGGCGGCCGGTGTCGCGGTTTTGGGGAGGAACGCCCGTAAGCATGCCCCGGGGACATAGGCTTCGGCCGAACCTTGTTACCAAACATCAAGTCTCCTGTGTGGTGTGTGCGATCTCTCGTGAGCATCTCGTCTAGGTAGATTTAAGCAATCGCTTCCACATTAGACGCCGATATCACAACACCAAAGCATGTGGAGCAAAGCCAACGAAGATGCATAGAGGCCCAGCAAGATGTAGGACCTCCTCAGGCGTTCGTCGTTCTTTGCTTCCCTCTCTTCAGTTGATTTAGGGCTCGGTCTAGTTCTTTAATGACTATTACTAGTGTATTAACATCAGTTATGTCTACGCATGTATAATGAGGTGTAATCATCAATATTGGGAAAGAGCAATTTTTCCTCCTACATGTCGAAGCGAAACTGTATTGACGTAGTTATTATATCTGTTGTTTAGCCGTGCTCCATGTCACCCACAAAGCGATTTTTTTTTTTTGAAAATAATGGTAGGAGCTCCATCTTTCAATTAAGAGGAATATAATTGACTAGTTTATAAGGAAACCAGATTTGAAAACCTCATATAGACGCAGATTAAAACATAGAAAATACCCACCACATCAGAATATCATAGCCCCGACGACTAACCACAAATTAGCTCCAAATGTGCTACCCCTCCCACAGACACCTGCCCATTCGGGCATCAGTGTCGACAAAAACATATTACTTCGATTTGGTTCTTTGCAGATCAAGATAGGGATCGATATGATAGTGTCAGCGACGTGGTCAGTCAAACTGACAGGCAAATCGACAGGAATAGAAGTTAGCTGAAAGAATTTGCAAGGTCCTTGCCAGTTGCCGTGGACCTCACCGACAAGATCACTAAAACAATTGCAACTCTAGCACGAAGGCAGCTCGAATGCTCAATTATATGGACCACGATGGAGCATGTACCAGAGCAGACATGCATTACACAGGTGGTAGGATCAAAAGAAACGTCAATAGGACGTACCTTATTCCTTGCTAAACTCAATTCTCAAGTCTCAACGTCTCCGAGTGATAGCATCTTAAGAAAAATTGAACAGCATGATTATAGATTCAATAATCCACATGGAAGAAACCAGAGGCTACTGGTAGCAGTTTTCACTTTTCATTCCGTGCATCCACCACGGAAGCTTGTCAGGACAAGATAACCTTACCACCAAGCCCCAGCAGTCCAGCACAAGCAAATGAAGCACTGGACGGGGCATGTAGCTTTCCAGATTAGACAACTGTCTGAAGGGGCCAGGGGAGAAGTTCCAACTCGTGAACACAAAACAGACACACGATTAAGCCCAAGATGGTGTGTCTTATCCGGTGTCTTCTCAGGAAAACACATACCACATCTGCAATGCACGGCTCAGAAGCCCTTATCTGAAGCACTACCCAGCGAGACAGAAGTCTTGAAACAAAACCTTTAAGAGCGTACTGAAGTTTGTTTCAGGTTTTTATGTAAAACTGTGCTACACCAAAGAAGCGTTCCAAAAAGAAGTTTGTCACCAACATCCTAAATAGATGGATGTTTAAATATATACAAAATAAAACTAGGATGACAAGGCCTGTTTCAGAAAGAACTGCAGGGTTCTGTTGCTACTTTTTATGCACAGATAAGTTTAAACTTCAGCAGCACCTAACGAGGACAGGTGGAAAAGAAATTCAAATGAGGGAGGTACAATGTTATGTTGATCGATACATTGCATAACAGCTATTCCTTTTTTTTACTGCAGATTCTATGCATCAACGTCCATATCTTGTATCCCTACATCCACACAAGAAGCATATGAAAAGAGTCAGATTCGAAAATTGAATTGAATTTTATCAGAGTTCCATTAAAAGATGCAAATACTATCAACAGATAATGCTGATTCTATAGAAAAGATCTAAATATTCCCTCAAGGGTGTAAACAAAATTCCAGCATTTTTGGGTGATGCATACCTAAACAACATACATTAAACTTCTACCCCACGAAAATGCAAGACAGAATAAATATTGTGATCCAGATGAAGCATTCATCATGCACATTAACACCAGTAGGTGCAACAGGAAACATGACAAAGAGTAAGATATGATTAAATATATGTATACATATAGCTGAACAGCTCAGGTAGGCATCATGGAATTCCTAGGCATCATAGATGTATGACGAGAACAAAAAAAAGCATGCTTATGCTTGTCTTTCATGTTTCGTATTGTAGATCATCTGTGTTAAGAATTTTATTTGGTTTATTTGGAATAGCATGAGCACGTTGTGCAACTGTGTGTGTTTTCTCTTTTTGAAGGACCCTTGGTTCTTAGTACTACACATTTGTAATAGAATACTCCAACAGATGTGAGGAAAATTGAAAAAAGATTACTTCTGCATACCTGTAATGGAAACTAGCCATTCTTCCAGGTTCTGCAATACTAGGAATAGCCCCTATGACTATGTATTCATCATCAGTTTCATCAAATATAATTTCCCTTAATTCAACCGATTGTGTTGGAACCTTGAGATTAAAATTTTCCATATTAGCCTGGTTCCCATTCCTCCTTCCACTGCCTCTTCTTTCCCTTGCTCTTGCTCTTCTACGATTTCTTGAAAATCTTGAAAATGCCTTGCAGAATATACATGACCACCAGTTCATTCTAACCCTGCGGAAAACTTCATAGTCCTCACCAGTGTCATCATCCCCATACTGAATCAGTCTCCCAGAACTTGTGCATGCATTATGCTCAAGACATCTACAATATCAGTAGGTTGCTGGAAATTCTCCCAATCAACTTGCCTAGCAGGATGCCAGGATCAATCTCTGAAGGGCGTGAATCTGGATGCTTTTGTTGCGTGTGCTTCTGAAGCTCATTGAAGTTACCAACAAACATGCAGCACTCCTCTTCACAGCACCTTTTCTTCTGATTAAGATGCAGCTGAACCTCACCAATAACAATCCACCCAATAACATCACCTCTACACAGAGGGCAGCTGGGGCTGTTGTTTGCATTAGATGGCACAATATGAAAAATGCTATCAAGAGGAGGCACAGCTAAAGATGAAACTTTCACATTGGATGGCAGTTCATATGCAAATATAAATCTCTCAAGACAGTTTGAGCGGGTCTGGTCTGTATCACAAACAAACGGCCTGCATCCTTTCTCATAAGACATGCATCTCAGTAGGACTGCATTGTGAGGGTACATATCTATGCATGATATTACAGTTGAAGTCCATTTTCACATCAATATTTGAAAAAAAAAAGCAGAGTTAGTAAATCTATGCTAGTACTTATGGTACTGCAAGTCCCTTTTCTAAAATTCTTTTACATAAATTAAGTTGTGAGAGAATAGAATGAGTGGTTACTGATACAGAATAAGAGGATGCGACTCTCAGGGATAGGAACATTAATTTTGAACTAAAGCCATAAAGAGTGCTCAAATGAGAATGCCCTGTGGATGAGCAAATGAGAAGATTAGCCTAGATATCAGAGATATAAAAAATATACAGATTTCATTTATCTAATTCAAAGTCACAAGTAGCTGAACAATGTTGATCCATATACCTTAGTGAAATATGTACTATTGAGAGGAGAAAAATCAAATCATAGAAGCATACCAGTTTGGGCAACAATCTTAGGCTGGTCAATGGATGATGATGTCTCTACAACCGCCACAATTTTCTTGCAAAACAGTAGCCGCAGAAAACAAAATCAGAATGAACGGAACGAAACAAGTTGGGTTTGCTTGGCCGCAATCAATCACAGCAAGACAGGGAATCACACTCCGCATGAATTAGTACCAGAGGGGAAGTGCGGAGGCACACGTCGTGGTGCGTGCGGCCACCGGTGGTGGCGCTGGATCTGGCGGCACCTCAGGCTGACGGCATCAAACACAGAGATGGGGAGGCGGATTCCGTCTCCGCTGGCACTGGGGTAGGGAACCATCGGGGAGGATGAGCATCGAGTTGTCGTCTGCGAGGAGGATGGCGGCGGCTGTGTCGCGTCAATCCCGGTTGGATGGGCACCCGTCCGGTGGCGAGGATCCCCGATGGCGAGCACTAGAGGCATGGCTCAGCTCAGCTGGAGGAGGACGGAGATGCTGATGGGGCAATGGCCGATGGACTAGCGCTCCCAGCCTCCATCCTGGCCCGGTGCAGTGCCGCCTTCACCAAGTAGGGAGATCTAATTATTTGCCACTCTTACGGTGGCTGTCTCTTCGTTTGTCAACTTTATCGTGTCAATTACAAAATTATCCGAGAAAACAGTAACCAGACTAATATTTTGCCATTTTCGCTGACGTGTCATGCCAGATCAGCGCGCCAGCGTGGAAGTTAACGCCTCCGTCTCCGCTGACCAATGGCGCCCGCAACTGTTCGTCATTCCGATAACCTGCGTCATTTTAGTATTCCTGTTCGCGCTCCAGCACTACGGCACCCACCGCGTAGGGTTCCTCTTCGCGCCGATCATCCTCGCCTGGCTGCTCTGCATGAGCACGATCGGCCTGTACAACATCATCCGCTGGAACCCCCAGGTCTACAGGGCACTCAATCCCTCCTACTGATGAAGTCTGTCGTTTTTTTCAGCTTGCTTTCACTTCTTTGGTGTACACTTCACTGATCCTGGGATACATGGGCCAAGCTGCTTATTTGTCCCAGCACCATAACCTTGACGCAAGCTACCAAATTGGATTCTACATTGCAGTTCCTGGTACGCCACACTACTACATGGCTGGTTTATTCTCACATCACACTACGCTTTCAGAGTTTCAGACATTCACAGGCTTTTGCCTCTGTGATGAATGCAGAGAGTGTAAGATGGCCAGTGCTAGTGCTGGCGATCTTGGCGTCGGTGGTCGGCAGCCAGGTCATCATCAGCGGCACGTTCTCCATCATCAGCCAGAGCCAGTCACTGAGCTGCTTCCCCAGGGTGAAAGTCGTGCACACGTCTGACAAAGTTCATGGCCAGATATACATCCCTGAGGTCAACTGGATCCTCATGGTCCTCTGCATTGCTGTCACTGTTGGTTTCCGTAACACCAAGCACATGGGAAACGCGTCTGGTGAGTAGAGTATCTTGCTTTCCTGGCACTGATGATCATGTGCAGAAAACTGATCCAACCATATACCTGAACTTTTGCTTCTGAATTGTTGTGCAGGCTTGGCCGTGATCACGGTGATGCTGGTGACGACGTGCCTCATGTCCCTGGTGATCATGCTGTGCTGGGACCGGTCTCCATGGCTGGCCCTCGCCTTCTTCCTCTTCTTCGGCTCCATCGAGGCGCTCTACTTCTCGGCGTCGCTGATCAAGTTCCTGGAAGGCGCGTGGCTGCCGATCCTCCTGGCGCTCATCCTGCTCGCCGTCATGTTCGTGTGGCACCACACGACGATCAAGAAGTACGAATACGACATGCACAACAAGGTAACCCTGGAGTGGCTGCTGGCGCTGGGTGACAAGCTGGGCATGGTGCGCGTCCCGGGCATCGGCCTCGTCTACACCGACCTCACCTCCGGCGTGCCAGCCAACTTCTCCCGCTTCGTGACCAACCTGCCGGCGTTCCATCGGGTGCTGGTCTTCGTCTGCGTTAAGTCCGTGACGGTGCCTCACGTGCTCCCCGCCGAGCGCTACCTCGTCGGCCGCGTCGGCCCGCCGGGCCACCGCTCCTACCGCTACATCGTGCGCTACGGCTACCGCGACGTGCACCAGGACGTGGACTCCTTCGAGACGGAGCTCGTCGAGAGCCTCGCCACGTTCATCAAGCTGGACGCGCTGTTCCGCTGCAGCGACGCCGGCGGCGGCGACCAGCGGGACAGCAGCTACTACGAGCGCGAGAACGCGCTGACAGTCATCGGCAGCAACCCGCTGCGGCGCCACATGAGCCTGGGCTACGACGAATCCCACTCCCACGACGGCGCGTCGTCTGGCTCTGACCGCGTGGACGGCATAGAGCTCGCCGCGGCGCCGGTGGTCGTGAAGAAGCAGGTGAGATTCGCGGTGGCGCCGCCCAGGAGCCCCGGCGTGGACGAGAGCGTGCTGGAGGAGCTGCACGAGCTGTGCGAGGCGCGGGAAGCTGGCACGGCGTTCATCCTGGGGCACTCGCACGTGAAGACCAAGCCCGGGTCGTCGCTGCTCAAGAGGCTGGCAGTCGCAGTCGGCATCGGCTACAATTTCCTGCGCCGGAACTGCCGCGGCCCGGACGTGGCGCTGCGCGTGCCGCCGGCGTCGCTGCTCGAGGTGGGCATGGTGTACGTGCGGTAACAGAACGTGGCGGGGATGGGTGACTGCGATCTGTAATAGAACAGACGGAGAGCTGACGAACAGTTGCGAGCGCCGTTGGTCAGTGGAGACGGAAGCGTTAACTTCCACGCTGGTGTGCTGATCTGGCATGACACGTCAGCGAAAATGGCAAAATATTAGTCTGGTTACTGTTTTCTCGGACAATTTTGTAATTGACACGATAAAGTTGGCAAACGGAGAGGCAGCCACCGTAAGAGTGGCAAATAGTTAGATCTCCCCACCAAGTATGGCGGTGTGTATGTACTGGACTTTTTTGGAGAAAAAAAATAAGCATTTTTTTTTACCTCGAGTCGGATTCGATTTTCCGGAAACGCGTCCACACACCCAGTCGGACTCGATCCCACCACCTCATATATTCCGGTGTTCAGCTCCCTCTTCCCAACTCGAATCTCGCAAGGTTACGCACCTACGCTGCTTGCCCGCATCCCGCCGCCGCCATGGCCAACGAGGAGAGCGGGAGCCCCCTCCGACGCTGGAGGCCGTTCTACAGCACTTTCGGCGCCATCGACGAAGCAATCGAGGCAGCCGGCCACCCGCGCGCCGCGTTCCGGGAGGTGAGGGTCCGGATCGTCCAGCTGCTTCGCGGCGCCGTGCACGACGGCGTAGCCGAGCAGCTCTGCGCCGCGCTCGACGACACCATGGTGGAAGCGCTCGATACTCTGCGGGTGGCGCCCGTCCCGCACAGCGCGCTGGCGTCCACCGACCTCGCAAGGGCCGTCGGCGCGCTCGGGAAGCACGGGTCGGCCCGGATCCGTACCCTCGCGGGCGACGTCGTGCGCGGGTGGAGCACAGCCATTGACGGAGCTACAGCTACAGCAGAGAAGGAGCTCGACAAGCTCTCTGATGATCGGATCCCACGCCAGGGCATCTCTACAGTAGTCAAGAAGCCGGTCGACGCTGAAAGCAAGAAGACGGAGGCCAAGAAGCCGATTGTCACTCAAAGCGAGAAGATCGAGGCTAAGAAGCCGGTCGCCGCTCAAAGCGAGAAGATGGAGACCAAGAAGCTGATCGTCCCTCACAGCGAGAAGATGGAGAATACTAAACGGAAGCTACGTGAGGGTTACGAAGAAGCCAAGAAGATCAAACGTCTTCACACGATTCAGAAGATCGAGGATAAGGAGGCGCCAAAGCTTTTGGAGCAAAGCCAACGGAAGATGCATAGAGTCCCAGCAAGATGTAGGACCTCCTCAGGCGTTCGTCGTTCTTTGCTTCCCTCTCTTCAGTTGATTTAGGGCTCGGTAGTTCTTTGATGACTACTATTAGTGTATTGATGTCAGTTATCTCTCTGTATGTATAATGAGATGCGATTATGGCTACTGGAAAAAGAGCAATTTTTGTCCTGCTACATATTGAAGCGAAATTCGATATTGTTTGTCATGTTTACTCCGAAGGCGCATGCATGCATCATTTAGCACATAAAAGTGTCATATTATTCTAGACGCGCACGACGCATAACACATATACATGCTGAAAAAAGACTCAGTACAGGTTTTGTTGAAACAGCGCTACTCAGACGTTAGCTGAAAGATAGGATCGATATGATAGTATCAGCGACATGGTCAATCAAACTGACAGGCAAATCGACAGGAATAGAAGTTAGCTGAAAGAATTTGCAAGGTCCTTGCCAGTTGCCGTGGACCTCACCGGCAAGATCACTTAAAACAACTGTAGTTCTAGCACGAAGGCAACTCGAAAGCTTAATTCTCTACAGGTGGAGCATGCACTACCAGACATGCATTACACAGGTTAGGGTCAAAAGAAACGTCAGCAGGACATATCTTCGCTGCTCATCTGAAATCTCAACACGTCTCCGAGCGATAGCATCTTAAACAAATCAATTAAGCAGCATCACCATGGATGATCGCCAAATGGACAAGCGGATGGGTGAGGCAGCCCTCGCTTGCCTAGGTGGTCTGCTGTCCAACATCGCTTGTTGATAGTCAGCCATATGAAAAATTTGCAGCGAAGCTGAGCCCAACTTCGCCAAATTCTTGAAGGAAAGAAACTGACAGATCCCTCAAAAGAGGCAGCATATGCAGATTTGCTGTTGTATGTTCCAGATTGGGAGAATTTCCAACGATATTGATCCTGAACATCGGGTTCCACTTGATCCCAGATTAACAAATATTCAATGAGAATCTGTACTGTTAAGGCCCCCTTGATATCATCCACCCAGCTTCTGTGATGGAGCGCCTGAGCTACTGTCCGGCATTTAGTGACCCTTTTTGGAATCAACTGGATCAAATTTGGAGCCAACTCAGCAATGTCGTACCAGAGCCACCAATCCGACCAGAAGCGAGTAGATTCACCATTGCCAATCACATGATCCACAACCACATCAAACAGAGCCTGTGCATTTCTTGGAACTTGAATTGGGAGTCCATTCCAAGGTCTTGTTGTTTTCTGAACCCAAAGCCACCGGATACGCAGTGCCCAACCAAAAGTCTCAAGATTGTGTATACCCAAACCACCAGATTGCAAAGGCATTTGAACCCTTTGCCAAGCCACAAGACAATTTCCTCCATTAACTTGTTCTTGACCTTTCCATAGAAAACCTCCGCGTTTCTTGTCAATATGGCTTTAGTTACTCACTTAGGGAGGTCAAGAGCAGTCATGAGATAAATGGGAGTAGCAGTCAACACCACTCGGACCATTATGAGATACCCAGCCCGGTTTAATAAAGATGCCTTCCAACCTGGGAGATGATCTGCATCCTTGTCAATGAGAGGTAAGAATTCTGTCTTAGTAGGCTTTCGCAAGGAGAGAGGAAGGCCTAGATAAGTGCATGGGAAATCCTTGACTGGGCATGACAGAATTTCTGAAGTGAGCAACAAATCAGTTTGAGAACAATGAATAGGAGAAACTGAACTTTTTGCCAAATTTATTCGGAGACCAGAGGCGTGCCCAAAATAATCAAGGATGGGTTTGATGGTCTGAAGATCAGTGCAGGATGGTCTCAGAAACATCACAGCATCATCCACAAAGAAAGAAACCCGGTGAGTGACATGGTGCATGGCAAGCGGCTGCAAGAGATGAGGCGACAGGAGCATTCCAGTTCTGCTGAACAGCATCCAGAAAGCCAGGGATTTTTGTCCAGAAACTTCCGAAATGAAAAAGCCGTTTGCCTTTTGTGCTAACCTTCAAACCGAGAATAAGAGGGCAATGATCAGAAACAACTGAGGCGGTGCTCTGCAGAACAGCATCAGGGAAAATGTCCTCCCATTCTGAGCAACAGAAAGCCCGATCCAACCTAACAGGAGTTGAAGACCTTTCATTTGACCAAGTATATTTGCGTCCCAGGAAGGGGATTTTCTTGACTTCGAAATCATCTAAGAATCATCGAAATCTTCCCATCAAAGCTCTGTCCAGATTACCAAAGATGAGAGATCAATTTACTGAGGGGGTCCACGCATTGAGCATCTGTGTTTTGCAAATAAATAAATGAATAGAAATTGGCAGGCCTACATCTACAACATGAAGAACTGCTTGTTTTCTGGTTGATCAAAGGCATCACCAAACTCAGTAGTCAGTAGCACTGATGCATCTGGAAATCAATTGATCAGAATGAAGCTGAGAAATAGTAGTTATTTTTTGTCTTGATCACGCAGTAGAGCTATGTATCTTTGTATTAAAGAGAGAAAAATGGGAAACAATCCCATACAATACAAGGCAATCCTATAGTTGGACAACAAACGAAATCAGTTAACCAAACTAATTACACGGGTAAATCAAAGCAAGAAAATTTGTTAATCTGCAGTTATGTTCCTTCTCTGATTATCAATTCTAGCATCATTGTTATGCAGTTGCACTCTTTGCATTACTCACAGACACAGCCTCCTCTCACCATCCACCAGTAATACCTGAACCAGAAGTGCAGGACCAGGACCACTAAACAGATTAACCTAAAGCTGCACAGGCATATAGTTTCTGATTTGCAACTAAGAAGAAAGCAGACAGATTCTATGGAGTGAACTAATCCGTTCAAACTATTATCTATCAAAAAGGGGTTCATAAATTTGCAGTCTTTAGTTATTCTGCATTCACAGCTTCCTGACTACTACAAACCGAATTACAGAATTTGCTTTCCTTTTGTAACCACTGGTAAGACAGCATAGTATCAAACACTTTATTGTATTCTTGGATGAATCCTGATGAGTGAAGACTATTTAAGAGTGTCATGCACTGATCCTCAGAAGGACAAATACCCATCTCTTTCATTTCTTTTAGCAAATTTAAAGCTTCAATCAGTTTGCTCTTCTTGCAAAGGCCATCCAATAAAGCAAGATAAGATGTGCAGCCCACAATAGCACCTTTTGCAACAAGAGCATCATGTAGCATCAAAGCCTTATCCAGATAGCCTTGTTTGCAATGAGCCTGGATCATGTTATGTATCACATCTCGAGGAACTAGTCCTTGATTTATCATGTCTGTAAACAATGAGGACAAATGATCTGTATCACGATGTGAAGCATTCTTCTGTTGCAGCTCAACAAAAATTATGTGCGCTTCACTGAGTTTCCCAGCCTCACCGAGTCCACTCACAATATTTTCAACAGTCAGCAGGCTAGGTACTATGTCTTTGTCCATCATCACATGGAGAAACTTCACAGTTTCCTGTAATTTTCCACGTTTACAGAAGCCATGGACCAAGGTGTTGAAAGAAGAAATACTTGCATATCCCCGAACAATCATTTCCTCAGTTATAAACAGAGCTTGTTGAAGGTCTCCGGAGTTTGAGCATCCAGCAGCAAGCACACTATAGACAAAAGCATCTGGAGTTACCCCATCTGTAAGCATTTCATTATACAGATCAATAGCATCACGGATATCACCAGCTCTGCAGTATCCATCCATCAAAGTTGTATATGTCACACAATTTGGGAGTAATCCCTTACGTGATATGCTATTGAAGATATTATGGGCATGAGAAATATCATCAGACTTACAAAACCCATCGATCAGGGCATTATAGCATGAAATACCAGGCTCTATACCTTTTTTAGCCATATCATCAAGAAGACCAACAGCTTTCTCCATGTCAGCTGCCTTGCAAAAACCAGATATCAAGGAACCATATATAAGCGAATCAGGAACTAATCCATTCTTCTCAATCACTGAGAGAACACTAACAGCAGCTTGCATATGTCCAGAGCTGGACAGATTGTGAATCACGATTCCATATAAACGGTTGTCTGGCATTAACCCCTTTTCTAACATGGATTCAAGAGTAGAGGAAACCTTTTCAAGATTGTCTGATTTGAAGTAAGCTTCTAGGATGTGGGCATAGATAAAATCCTTGGGGTTTAGTCCACTGTTTCGCATCTGATGGAGTAACTGTTCAGCCTTTTCTAGATCCCCAGTCATACTATAGCCATGAATCAGACCATCATATGTGAATTCATTAGGCTGAAACCCTTTCTCCAGCATCTGGTCGTAGTACTCTATGGCTTCATCCATCTTTCCCACCTTAGACAGTCCAATTATAAGAGAATTGTAGCAGTACAAATCAGGGGTTAAGTTTGCCCTGGTCATCTTTTTGAGAGTTTCACAAGCCAATGAGAAACTACCTTCCCTGCAATAGCCTGAGATAAGAGGTGCATAAACAAACGCATTGGGCTTTAAACCATCTGCAATCATTTGCTCAAGGAGACCACTTGCTCTTTCTGATTCACCAATTTGGCATAGCCCGTTGATGATTATGCTGTAAGTGTATACATTAGGTGAAATACCACTCTTCCTCATTTCATTAAGCAGCGAAAAAGCTTCTTCTTTGTTATGCTGTCGGAGATGACCTTCAATGATCAGATTATAAGTCATAGTGTCAGCCATATAACCAATCTTAGCCATTTGCTTCAGAATCCTGGAAGCCCTGCCCATCTGCCCCAGTTTACAGAGACCCCGGATGAGATTGTCATAGGTGATCTTGTTCGGCTGCACCCCAGCAGCAGACATCTCCTTGACTATCTTAAAAGCTTCATCTGCATTGCCCTGCCTCATGAACCCATCAATCAGAGTTGAATAAACAACCACGTTAGGCATCAACCCAGCACAAGACATCTCGTCCAGCAAGCACTTTGCCTGATCCGGCCTGCCACGCTTGCACAGACCGTTAATGATTGCGCCATAAGTGAATCCATCAGGAACCAGCCCATAATCCTCCATCTCCTTCTTGTATCCAAACGCCTCTTCAACGGCTCCAGTTCTGCACAGACCACCAATCAATGTATTGTAGGTCACTACATTCAGGTTACATCCCGTCTCACGCATTTCCTCAACCACCTTCTTGGCAGACTCCAAGTCCCGGACCTTGCAGTACGCCTCGATCAGCGTCGAGTACGTGTAGACATCGGGCGAAATCCCGGCGTCGTCCATGAAACCGCGCACCTTCCAGAGCAGATCCAGGGCGTCAGCGCGCAGCAGGTCCTTGAGCAGCCCGTTGCAGCAGCGAAGGCTGGGCGCCAAGCCGAGATCTTTCATCAGCAGGACAACCTCGGCGCTTTCCCGGACCCTCCCGGTCTTCTTGTAGGTGTCGACGAGCACGTCGAGGACGACAGGCCGGCGATGCTGGTCGGAACCGGAGAGCGCGCGGTGGACGGAGCTGAGGACGAGGGGAGGGGTGGGGTAGGCGCGGATCATCTGATCGAGGAGCCCGTTGGCCTGAGGGTAGAGGCCGGCGGCGCAGAGGGAGACGGCGAGGTGGGCAAAGGCGTCGGGGGCCGGTGCCGACGGCGCGAGGCGGGTGCGGGACCAGTAGAAGAAATCCAGCAGGAGCTTGGGGTGGAGGCGAGGGGAGGAGTTGCGGCGGCGGAGAAGGGAGGATAAGGCAGCGGGAGAAAGGCGAGAAGGGAGGTCTGAGGCGGCGATGGCGAGCTTCCAGTCGCCGGAGCAGCTGGAAAGGAGGGTGGCCACGTCCGCGGCCACGCCGTCCGGGTCGGCGGCCGTGGACGAAGAGGTATCGCTGGTGGAGGTGGTGGTGGTTGTGAAGGGCGCGGGAGGCGGTCGGGTCGCGCGGATGGGCGAGACGCCGGCGCCGGCGGCTGGACGCCGCACGCGCGCGAGGTGGAGCATGTTGGGTACGACTAGAAAGAGAGGATGCGAGGATTGTTTGTGAGCTGTTTGACGTATTGGTCATCGGTACTGCTTGCTGCAGCAGCAAGCCTGAGAAACAACTTGATTCCATCGCGAATCCAACCTGCAAAGCCTGCTTACAAACTTAGATTTGCATAGATGATGCTCTGATGCCATTTGGTGATACTGAACATTTAGGATCAGTTATTAGGCAGGGAGGCGGTTGCCTTTGTCAGGCTAGTTCTGTACCTCTTGACGGTTTACTTGCATTCTGCTAGTACTCCTACAATAACTCAGTGCACTGATATTGGCAGAATATGCGTCCCCTTGTATATTTGATACATTTCAGAGTTTATAACTCAACATCTTTATGTTTGTAGTTGTGAATACTCTTATGGTTCGCTTGCTTGGGCTCACCTTCATATGACAGAGGATGGGCCAAAAATTGTCAAAACCGAGAGCTAAATCAAAAAGGGTATTGAACCACTTTTGTGAGAATCCAAAATTTTTCTTCAACATTAGCAGTAACAGCTCACGTCAGTGACCATTAAAAAAAATCTACAGCACTGAACTGAAGATTTAGTGACCTAAAAAGAAAGGAAAAACTCTTTGACAAGCTGATCAGCTCCTAAGTTCTACAAAAAGAATGAAAATCAGCCTTCCACTTGAAGGGCATACCATGCTTCCCTGCTACTGTGAGTTTGTTTCCCTATATGCAATTTCTATTATGTCTCTGTTTTCGAGTGATTGATCGGCCCAGACGAACCCGCCTGGCAGTGAGAGCATCCAGCAAGATATCCAACGAGCACTCCACTGCCTCAGCTTGCTTTTCCAACTCAAATGCGCTGAGCTCAGGCCGCAAGTTCAACTCCCAGAGGAGGCCAGCTGCAGCTGCCGCAGTGCAGGTACGATCCCACGCAGGCTGTGGTCTGTTCAGTTTATGAAGGAACATAGTATCCACAAATAAGCATTTGAAAAGGGGGAAAAGGTTATCACAAATGAAGGAGACGATAAGAACAAATAAAGCTTTTAGCTCACCGTAGTTTATGCATCACTGAGGCACTAAGTGTAGATAGTGCGATACAAGGTATATCTTCATCTCCCCATATTGCAGTCCATCTCTCCTGTACAAGGTAACAGATATAAGTCATATTTAGCTACTTGTTTCTCACATGTGAACATACCTACTTGGTAATTTGGAGTCCAAATCTTAAAACTCCTGATTGGATAGTGGCAAGTGCCTTGCAACCCAACCCTATTCTACATCAATCCAACTGTAGTCTGCTTTTGGATTATTCTGAATGTTTTTTGGTCAAGGATTTGCAAGTACATATTTGTAGGAACTAATCAAGAATCATCTACGAAATTATACAATCTAAAGGCTAAAGGTAAAACTTTTTATGTGAAACCTACAAGATTACCATGCAGCTCTTTAGGTATGAGAAATGCCAAACTATTGTATGTCTAGTTCCATCAGACAGCATTTATCATTAAACCTCCACTTAAATTGAGCCAATTTCATAAAATTATAAGTATTTGACATAATAGTCAAGAACTAAACCTTTGGAAATTGACGTTCATTAAGCTATACTCCCTCCGTCCCAAAATAGATGACCCTTCAGCTATGAATCTGGAGGGAGTATGTACCTAACTTTGGAGTCTTGGCCAAATATTTAATAATGTACACATCCAGTGATTTAGTTGAATGTGAATGAATTCAACTGGTGGGACCAACATGTCTGTGTAAATGTAATCTACATGTCAGACCCCGCAGCCAGCTGAAGAAATAGGAGCAGTTCTGCGTTTACTGGTAGTCTAGACAGCCTAATAAAGGAATGCTTGGGCCAAATGAGAAATGCATTGAACTGTACCTTCAACCTTCTGTACAATGCAGCAGAATTACTCCAGGTACCATCAAGCAAAACAAAATTGAAAGGTTCATCCTGCAGACTCTGCATTGCAAAAGTTAAATCATTACCATTTACCCAAATGTTGAAAGTTGATAGGTGTTAGTTGCAAAAACCACTAAAGACTCAACAAATTGAATCATTATGGATACTTGATATGATGGATGGAAGGTGCTCATGGAAAAAAAATCTACATGGAAAATGTATGTATAAAAGAAGGGAGCACTTCATGAACAAAAATCCACATGGAATATATGTATAAAAGAAGGGAGCACTACTACTTTGCTGCAGTGGAAATCATGGAATGCCATTGAAAAACAAACACCACCTCATGAAGGTCAGCAGTCAAGGACAAACCATCAAATTCAAGGTCTTTAACTGACTTGGGGGTGCTACTCTTGTTTGGATATAGAACTGAGATCTTCCCCTTTCCTGAACGAACACCACATCAGAATGGAAGTGAGACATTTAACGATGAAGAGAAGGAAAAAAAACACATGTCCTAGCTGAAGATAGAAATATGACTTATGCTGAATGATTGATTAGTGCAGAAATCTTCTGCAGATCATACAAAACTAAATGCATTCTGCAATCTGCATTCGTTTATATGAAATATCAATTTGTACCATAGATAATCAATGCATCAAAGGATGCAGTTTCAAGCTGTTAGGACCAGGTCAAGCATACAATGCATCAATAGAACAGTTCACAGTGATCAAAATAGAAAGGAGCACATGCAAACAGAAAAGAACAAACAATGCGCAGAATTTCAATGTGAAAACTACATTAACAGAACCATAGAATCCTGAATGTCAGTAAATATGGACAGTTACAGGCCCCAATCTCCATTTCTCATAAACATGACAACCCACTGTGAAAGAGGTAATACAAGTGACACGTTCATTTAAAATATGTTGAATATTCCAAATTAGTCCATACATTATTATATATCATGTTACAAATCAGCAAGTGCACCTCCCTATAGTGGTAAGCAGACTGGAAAGCATAAATATTTGCATGTGCATATGAGTTAAAAAGAAAAGTAGAAATGTAAAAAATTGGGTCAGAAAACACATCATATATTGCCTTTACTTTAAATGAGAACATGATGCTAGTTACTACTAACGTGATTTCGGGAAAGTGAACAGAATTTAAGTGCAATGTGACCAAAACAGCATAAGAGACACTTTAGAACTGTAACCCTAGGGCATGTTTGGATCCTTCACACGGCCCGCCTCGCCTCGCCCATCTCACCTCGCCAGACCAGGACAGACAAAGCAAGGGGAAGCAACCTATTTGGTTTCCTTGTGTAGCTAGCTCTTTCTTTCACTTCCTCTTCTCAAATGGAACAGAGCGAGAGCACCAATCTAGCACAGTAGCACTGGCCTTCCTGCAGCTGCTAAAACAGGACGAGACGCTGGTTGAAGATGATTGCGACCTTGCCGAGTAAGTGGATCAAATCCATGTCCGCTGCTGTGCTGTGGTGTAAAAAGAAGCAAACAGAGCAGACGATGAAAATGGATTGCGCAAACGCAGAGGTCCTTAGCTTCTCATGTGGCAATACCATTTAACTATTTAAGGCATTGGGCCACCGTCAGGCTTCAATTCGAGCACCCAGGACTTATTATGCCGCCTTGCGATCGATTTGCCCCGCATGGGGCTGGATTTTGCACCGTCCGTGCTTAAACTTCTGCTGCAGGTGACGATTCCGAGGTCATCTTCTCGATTGACTAGAGGGAGAAGGAAACAAGAACCAACGCCACGTGACCTTTCCCACGCAGGAGAGCTGATTTGGCTCTCCTGCGCTGGCAGGGAAAACCTTGCCATGACAGGCGAGATTGCTCAGCAAAGCAAGGGTCTTTTGCTGTACCAAACAACTATCCTCACCCAGTAAGGCGAGGATAGGCAGAGCGATAGATCCAACAAACCCCCCTCCCAATCTAGAGGCCTTATATGTTGGTCTAACCCACACTCAAAAACCAAGGTGGGACTAGATCCACACAATCTCACATCAACATATACACATGGGCCTATATGGCCCAAATTCCAAAGTGGGCCGGATGTCACATAGACCTACGACCAATGATAATGGAGACTATCAAAGTTATCAACGCCGCTACTTAGAGCTGTGGGTTAAGCTAGCACATGCCCAACTTTTGGTAATCAAATTATTAGCATGACTCTTATTTGCATTGTTTCCATATCCTTTAAGTCATTAAGCAATGACAGCATAACCAGCAAAATCACAGATCTAAAAGCATTATTACGTGCCTCTTTCCTAAATAGGATTCAATATACTAGGTGAGTTTAGTTGACAAAGTATGCTTTGCTCATCAAACAAGAAATTTACAACTCTTGAGAGGATCAATCACAGCAAGTGAAAGCTAATCTAAACTACCAAACAGAAAAATGACTAAATCAAAGTCTAGCAAGCTCTTAAAACAATATCATTCAACAATTTATATGTTTGAGAAATCAAGGATGGTTCCAAGCACCTGAACTCTGAAATGCATCCCACATGATATCTTCATGCTCTTGGATACCAAAGAGGCATAACTGTGCAGCTTGGATGCCAAATACTTGCCAGAGTAACTTTCCTGTGTTATTCTGGCGCAAAAAATCCTGCAGAAAGAGATATGGTTACACATAATAGGAGGAAACATAAGAGAGTACTGCACAACCCTCTATGGACAGACCTTTGGGTGCATGTATAGCCAGAATTTCATCCCCTTCCAAAGATTGCAAGGAACAATATTTGTGCACATACAGTCTTCAGTTGGTAGCCAGCACTGCAATTTCAGAGACAGACGGATCACTTAACCACACTCTGGGAAGGAGAGGAATCAAGAAGGGTAAAATGCCAGTAAATCAGGGTTCAGCCTAGTGGAAATTAAAATCGCTGCATTGTTTTGCAGCACTGCTCAAGCGCTTGCATAGCTCAGGTTGGACACCACAGTACCTTCTGGCACAGATACCCTCTGCACCCTAGCAAACGGCAGCCAATCTGCCGCGCGGAGAAGTACTGCAGCTTCTGGTCGGAGTCGGCGAGCCTCTCGTAGACAGCCCTGTGCTTCTTGTCCTCCACGTCCTTGAAATTGCCCTGCAAAATCCAGAAGAAATCAAACCAAGATGCATCAGTTCGACTCCTGCTGCGCTCGCACGGAAGCCTGAAGAATCTCCAAAATCTGAGGGTTGGTAAATGGTAATAAATAAAACAATAAGGGAGGAAGATGACGTCACCTTGAGCTTGGAGCCGACGCCGCCGAAGCGCATCTTCTCGCCGGCGGCGGCCTCCATCTCGAGCAGCTCGTGGATTACACCGGCCACCGCGGCCGGGAGCGTCGAGGAGGTGCCCCAGCGCCGCCACTCCTCGTGGCTCACATCACACCAATCCCCGCCGCCGGCGACGGCCGTGGGGAGGTCCTCGTCCTCCGCTTCCACCTTCTCTTCGACCGCTGCCGGATCGGTGGAGAAGGCCATGAGGGAGCGCGCGAGGGGAGGCGCCCGCCGCAGTCGGGGATCCCGCAGTAGGAGGGGCAGTGGGAGGCTGCGGTGGAAGGCGAGGGCACCGATGCAGCAGACGGGAGGAATAAGAGCAAGCATTTTTTTTCCTTCGCTATAGTCTGCCTTTCTTTTTTTTTTTTTTGTTTGCTCGTGCGCAAATGAAAAACGGCGGGCATTTGCCTGGGCGTTCATTTCAGACTAGTGACCAGACGGAATACGACTGTGGATAGCTACAGTGTTTATCATATTAAGGGCGTGTTTAGTGAAAGTTGGAATTTGGCTACCGCAGCATTTTCGTTTTTATTTATCAATTAGTGTTCAATCATGGACTAATTAGGCTTAAAACGTTGGTCTCGCGATTTCTAACCAGTAATTAGTTTTTTTATCTACATTTAATGCTCCATACACGCATCGCAAAATTCGATGTGATGACTACTGTAACACTTTTTTGGAAGTTTTTTTAACTAAACACGGGCTCAGTTACAGATTTGAATCGATAATATCGATGTCATATGTATATAAAGTTGAGTATCTAAATACAAATATGTGGCGACACATGCGTTCTGTATGTGGCTGACCCCTGTTGAATAGCCTGTTAAAGAAGTGTCGGATGTGTGATTACGATGTAATGCGAGCATATCCAAGAGTGCTCTGTATCCTTTTTTTCATCCATGTTTTTTGGAAAAAAAAACTCATCTCCAAAATTCTCCATATCCCTTCCTCATATTTTCGCACTCGGCAAACCGGCCTCCTCCGTGCATAAAAATACGCGGAGAGGAATCGCACGCATTGGCCCTTCCCCGCGCCGCCTCCTCCTTCCCACGCTCGACCGCGACTCTTTCCCGCGTGTCATCTCCTTTGCGTCATCGTCCACTGCTTCTCTACGATGCTTTCTTGGTCGCTAGGGTTTGTTGCTGCCGCCTGTAGGCCATGGCCGCCGCTACCAACGGCAGCGGCAGACATAGCCGGCCGCAGCCGCGTCCTGCACGGGAAGGCCTGGCCGCTGGCACGTGTGGCCTAGCAGAGGCCGCGGTTGGGTGCCCCTGCCTGCCTCTGCGTGGATGGCGATGGCCTGGCCATGGAAAGCTGTGGGCACAGGAGTGTAGATCTTCAGCCTGTTCGTTTCGGCTGGATTGGTTTATAAACCCATGGCTGAAGTACTGCTGGTTGGTTTGGTGTGAGAGGAAAACACTGTTGGCTGGCTGATAAGCCAAACCAGATATAGGCAAGTTACGACCTGCCGAACAGGCTGCTTAATTCTATTTTCGTTCCTTCGTCGCTTGCTAGATTGTATATGTTGCTTGCCTGTTGATACTGTTGCCTGAATGTATATGTTGCTTACCGGCTGCTGCTGAACGCTACTTGGCCGACGTGCATGCTACTGTACCTGCTGATGGGAAAGAGAAGATTTCTGCTCTGGTGCTGGCCGGAAATTTGCTCTGCTGCTCCTGATGGCTACCTGTGCTTGTCTGCTAGCTGATGGCGGCCGGCTGGGAGGTCCGGCGGCGAGGCTGGGAGGAACACCGGCGACCAGCAGGGTGCGGGCCTAGCCTGGCTGCCACCGGCTGCTGCTCGGAGAAGAGCGAAGGCACGCGGCGGCGAGGTAGATGGGACGGGAGTCGCGACCTCGCGACGGGGGAAAGAAAAACCGCGAAGGATTAGTGTGTGGGTCCACAAATCTGATATTTTGGAAGTCAATTATAGATACTATTAGAGATGGTCTCTTTTTTTTCTCCCTATAATTATTTAGGAGTTGACAAACACCATGTTTTGGAGAGCCAAATATACCAAACCTTTGGAGATGCTCTAAATGGGATTGTTATCTTACAGTACTGGGCAGGGTATGAGCTCTATTACTTTGGTAATAAAGTCGATGACATCTAATTATTGACAGAAATTTAATTTTGGCTTACCAACACATTATGGAAATATAAACGGTAAACCATCATTATACTTTTACGCAAAAAAAGAACTTACTCAAGAAATCACTTTTGGCTGAATGCATTTCTAATCTATACTATAAGGGACCAATTAAAATTATACTAGGTCCACCCTCAATTTTATCCCCACAGTCATGACTTTACCTTCTTACACTTCAAAATATGTCCCCAGAAATACAACAGCATTAAAATCAATGGCTCACGTATCTTCCTATTAGGCTTCAACACGATCTATTGGTCAGGATTGTTTGGATCATCCAGAGGCTTCAACGCACCCTATCAGCCTGCCTCTCCCCGCCCGCATGGCCGCACCACGGAGGCCAACGATCCCCGTTTCAAAGCATGGTACCTCCTATTTCTAGAACCAAATCTCCGAAACAACTCAGAAACCAAACACGAGACTCCCATGCCTACACTGTTGCGTGAACCCTTCTTCCTCCATTCCTCTTGCTCTCTTCTCTCTTGCTCTCCGTCATCACCCCGTCCTTCCTCCGTTCCTCCCCGATTCAAGGCCTGGCTGCGATACTGCCATGGGCCGCCGTCGCCACCACCGCGGCCACCGTTCCTGCTGGCAGGGCCGTGCCACTACCAGGGGTTGTGCGAGATGCAAATGGGGAGAAGAGAAAGAGTTAGAGGGGAGCAGGATCAGAAGGGGCAAGGGTAACGCATGCAAGGAAAGAGGCATATAGCCTATAGGAGCGCACCAAAATCTCGGTCGTAGGAGCGGCTGGAGGGCCGCACCGGCGGCGTCCAGTCGTGGAGGGGAGGCGTGGGGAGGGCGGCCGCGGTGGCGGAGCAGCAGCGTCGCGGGGGAGCGGTTCGGCGTGGTGCGTACATGCGGGGGTCGCGCGGTTACGGGATGGGGGCGGGGGAACGGTTTGGCTGCCCTTCCCAATCCAAGTGAGTTCCATCTGCGTGTTCCCACTTCCCATCCCAAATGCTATGTACTGGCAATTTTTTTTCCATGCAAAATATCTGATCATTAGCCTTTTGTATACCAATGAACGAATCTTCTGCTTCAATATCAGCGTTCAAGTTCAGGTATGATATTTAGAATCCCCATCCTATTTGTTTACTCTTTTGAATGGCTTATTGATTTATTGACTTCCGAGACGGAAGTTTCCCTGTGTTGAGCAGATTCGTTCATGATGATTTGAGTCTGATTTAATCCTTCTCGAGGCAGACTGAACACCCTACGCTCGCCCATTTGGTAGAAAACGTAGGGTATGATCCTCTTCTCGATTTGTTTAACCATTGTTGAATAATTTATTTTCTTATATTTTTTCTCTTGTGCAAAGAGTTTCACTGTGAATTAAAAAATATGAATTCTTGTTAGCTATGTTTGAAGAGCAGATATGCAGGAGCTTTCCATTCTCACTATGCGTGAATCACGAATTCATGATCAAGTCATGGCAACAGAAATAGATCCTGCATTAACATCCAAGTGGTTAGAAGCTCATAGGTTGTGCAGGTATATTTTGCAGCTTTCTCTAAATATCCTAACTATTTGGAATGAGGGCTAACAATTTGTTTGCTAAGCTTCGGTGGGTATAGTATTTGCTTGAATTCTTCATGGCTTTGAAAGTCTTACTCACATGATGCCAGTTAATATATTCTGAAATATACAGGTTAACAAAATTCGGTGGATGTAGCAGTGGGATGAAGATGAATATGAGGAGGCTGAGTTCAGTCTGATGCTCTTGAGCTCTTCCCACATGCTCATCTTTAGCAGTGTCTAATAGTAAAGATGACAATTTTATTTGGCACCGATGCTTCATATCAGTAAATGAGGATGAAAGGAGATTTTGGATGAAAGTGTCTGTGGACTATTATCCTTACAGTACTAGGGTAAAATGTTCAATTGTTTGTTGTTATATCTTGCATGAATTTTTTTGAATTATCGATTGAGGTATGGAAGTGTTAGTTTTCTGCTTGTTCTATACACCCTTGCAGTTCTTAACATGCATTGGTGTGCTTGTGCCTCTTCCCCTGTAACTCAGAACAAGGCAAGAAAGTGCTCACATTATTTCTTCTTCTTGCTCGACAAATTCAGCTACTAGAGGTTGAGCAGCAGGTCATTGGAGTTCAGGGGTTGTGACTGAAATCGCGTGAGAGATCTCCCTTGCACCTTTCATAACGTGGCCCTGATCTTGCTGATGGCTAACCTCACCAACACGTCTCCAGTGTTAATTGCTGAGGGATAGGATAGGTATTATTACAAGGCATGTCACTATTGGTGTTGGTATATATTGTATCGCAACTTGGTGGCTCAGTGGCTCAGTGGTCCTTATTTTACAGGCCTCCTAGCAAGAAAATGTATAGCATAATGTCTCATTAAATAGTTTCTAATCTCAGTTTTATCCAAATTGTAGACACTGGCGATTTTATAATGTCCCATTCAATAGTTTTTGGTTGTTTATACTAGGATTTTTGACAACATGTGCCTGGGCACCTGCATGTCTCGATGATTGGAGCTTGTTTCAATTGACTTTTGGCATAATTTTGTAACCAAATATTTGTCGTATACCCATAGAACTATTATTTTCATTATTATTATTATTTGAAAAAAAATCAATGTGATTTCATCCTTATGAACTTTTATTTTTATGTCGACACGTGCGTGCCCCACTTGCCTATCCACTAGTTGAGGAAAAGGTACAAGTTTGTAGACATACTGTGCAAATGTGGTTGGAGAATTTGTTGCAGGCTCAATCTCGGTGTAGCAGGTAAGTTCAATCGTATTCATATTATCACATAGCATGCTTCAAGGCAATGATACTTGGATTTAGCATTTTTTACCCTGAACCAACTTGTGATGTAAACATTAACCTTTTGTATTCGAGGGTTGTTAGTGCAATCATATAGCATGCCATGCTGGTTTTGAAACCGGCTTGAGCCGGTTTTGATAGTCTGAGCCCGGGTCGGTGACAGTGCATGGAGCTCATCGGTGCGGCAGCGGCACGGGCTACTCGCCGGCGGGGCGGCGTCACACAAAGCTCCTCCTCTCGCCTGCTTGCTAGAGCATCCGTTGTGGAGGCTTGCCGGCTCGGTGGAGGCGGCCACGACGAGTGGGCAGCACAGTGCAGGTGAGCGCCGCGGTGGAGAAAAAGCACAGTAGAGAGATTAATTTTTCCTGCTAGGAGGCACGGATGGGAGCGAGCAGACACGCGGTAGCGAGTTGGGAAGTCGCGCCCGCCCCTACGAACGCCCTCACGACTCGCGAGAGCATTAGCAATAAGAGAAGCCACGTTGTGGCAAAAAAAATGATGCCATGAGGAGAGAGAAACATCGAGCACTGATTTTTGCCACTGTAACATGCGATGGTAGAAAATTTTCTCTGTCCTCGATGACTGGATGCACCAACAAACCATTTGTTGTGATGGAATCTACTCACTTAATTTTTAAATTTTCGATTTGGCAGGGGCTCATGTTTTTTTGAAAGATTAAGGGCGCGTTTGGAACACGGTTTTTTCATAGGAAAAGTGAAGGAAATCAAAACGGAAGAAAGGAAGATGGTCATGGCGTTTGGAACAAAGGAGAGAAGCTAATCCTTTCCTTTGGAACACTGTAGCAACAATATGATTTCACGGGAAAGAAAACATTTGCTCCTGGCTTTGTTTTTTTGTTCCTTCGCGGAAGCCCGATGCAACCAGAGCTCGGGACGATAAAATAGAATGCGATCACACTGTCACACAGCCAGAGCTCGGGACGATAAAAAATTAGGAACATATAGGAGAGAGAACGGTCAAGTAATAAAGAGACTACTTCTTCTAAAAAAAGTATAGAGACTATACTATGCTTATAGATGAATTAAAAAATAATAACCTAAATGACTACCAGGTTAGGATGGATCAATGGCTATAATCGCTACTTAGAGACATGTGATGATCTAAACATATTCATGCAATCCAAACGGCTCAAAGTATCTATTCCTGCGTTTTGAAATACCGTAGTTTTCCATCTTTCATTCTACCATATTTCTGTGTTTTTTTCCATTCCTCTATTTTGTATTCCTTCGTTCCAAACGGACTTTAAAGGATAATTTTACGGTCTCACTGATACTCTCTGCCAACACAATCTTGGGAAGAATAAATAGAACGTTGACCTGTACTTACATAGGAACCTAATGCAATAATGCTAGCTCCTTTCAAACGCTACAATTAACTCCGTCATAAAGAGCCTCAGCGCACGGACACGAACGTGTAAACAGCCGCACCGTGCGCGAGGGGGACACCGTGGCGCTTGCTTGTCCACGCACCGACACCGTTCGATGGCCATGGCCATGACCCCGGCCCGGCACAAGCCGACCGGGTCACACCATCGCGTCGAGGATCTCGGTCCGCGACATGGCGACGGCAGCCCGGCACACGGGGCAGATCCACTTGCGCTGTAACCACAGGCTGATGCAGCCCGCGTGGTATACGTGCCCGCACGTGCCCGCAGCTCGCGTCCGCAAGGCGCCGGCACCGGCCCCAGCTCAGTTTAGTTGCGTCCGCAAGCCGCGCCTTGCAGATCGCGCAAAGATCCACGTCGCAGATCGCGCACAGATCCACGTCGCCGTCGCTCGGCTCCGGGCCCCGCTGGCCGGCCCCACCCGGCTGATGAGGGACGGCGACGACGACGACGTCGTCCTTGTTCTTGTTCAACAGCGCTTCTTGCTTCCCTGCCGCGGACGAAACGCCGCCGCCCTTCGCGCTTCCCGCGCCATCCTGGCAATGGCGCACAGCACATATGATGGTGCAGAGCACCACGAGACCCGCGAGTACGCCTAGAAATATCGCACCAGCCATTGGTGATCGGATGTTCCCGTGTTTGCGCAGCAAGATGTGCGGTTAGATGCGGCAAGTTGAGAAACAGGCTACGGTTTCGGTTAAGTCTGTCATTACGATTTCAGAATTCGCAATAGTCAATACAGGCCCGTTCGTTTATAGGAACGATTTCAGAATTCTCGGACGAAAAAAAAACGGATTAGTCAATACAATCCAATAAATCTCTTTCATCGAGGACAGTAAATAGACTGGTTAAGTAATCGGATTCCATGGCAAGGGCTCCTCTGCAGATTCGATTCAAATTTTAGTCCGAAAAGGAGAACGAAACAAATTACAAAACGTTAGGACGAACCTGCATGTTCGTTTGTTGATTTTCAGCCAAAATTTATCAGTCATGATATAATATTTTTCTCTCATAACAAACCAGCAACCGCCGAACTTATCAACTCAGAAACCAACGTGATGTCGTTCGGCTTTTTCGACGGACAGACGAGCTACACATCAGATAGCCAATCCAATAGCCTATAGGGCGACTGTAATTTAGGACAAGTCTCGGTGTACGCTTTAAAGGCTATCGGTAAAGTAATACCTCCAATTAGCCCTATTGGTTTCAGTCACTGAATTAGTCAAACTTGCTACAGGCAGGATCCTAGAACTTTACAGGTCGGGCATTCAGTGTCCGGGATCAACGCCTTGTTCCATATGCAATTTACATATTTCTCACACGATCGTAATCGAAAAAGGAAAAACCCCTTATTTCGTTGCACTCCTCGTGGTGGAACTTGGAAGTGACAAGAGGCCATGGGTGCTGCTCTTGGCCGACGAGCCAAACGAGTGTTCCGCCGTCCGGTCGTAGTGGCCTCCGGTGTTGGCACTTGCGGTCGACGACGTGGTGCTTGACCAGTTGTGACCCCTGGCAACAGTGACAGGCGGCCCATACGTCGCCACCGGCATCTCCAGCGGGAGCTCCGGCAACGGCGCCTCGAACTGGAGCACGCTCATGGCCTGTCGGATCGATGCCCGGGACGCGTAGTCCGGATGCACGCACCAGAGCCCCACGCATAGCACCCGCTCCATCTCCATCGGCTGGAACCCGCCGTCGTTCAGCCGGGGGTCCGCCGCGTCGAGGAGCTCGCCCCTCCCGTACAGATCCCAGACCCACTGCACGAGCAGCACTCTGCTCTCGTCTTCCTCCTCCAGGACGACGGGCTTCCTGCCGCAGGCGACCTCGAGGAGGACGACGCCGAAGCTGTAGACGTCGGACTGGACGCTGGCGCGGCTGGTCACCACGCACTCTGGGTCCATGTAGCCCATCGTGCCGGCGAGCCACGTGGTGTGCGCGGCGCGGCTGTGGTTGACGAGGCGCGCGAGGCCGAAGTCGCCTAGCTTCGCGTTGAACGACGAGTCCAGCATCACGTTGCTCGGCTTGATGTCCCTGTGCACCACGCACTGATCCCATTCCTGGTGAAGGTACAGGAGCGCAGAGCCCATGCCAAGGATGATGTTGCACCTGATCGACGCCCAAAAAAGAAAATTGAACTTGTAATATCTGACAAACTATTCTTATAAAAAAAACAAGCATAAACTATCAGCTCCCTTGATTGATCAAGTTCGTTCTTACCTGACTTGCCACGTTAGAATGTTGTCTGTGCTGTAGAGATGCTTGTCAAGGCTGCCGTTGCTCATGAGCTCGTAGACGAGCAGGAGCTCGTCGGCGTCATGGCACCACCCGACGAGCTGCACAAGGTTGCGGTGTCTGAGACGGCTTATGATCGTGACCTCGGAGACGTACTCCCTCCTCCCCTGCTTTGACGTCTTGGAGACCTTCTTGATGGCCACATGGAGACCTTGATCCTGCAGGTACCCACGGTAGACTGATCCGAAGCCACCTTCGCCGAGCTTCTCCTCGTCGGAGAAACCTCGCGTCGCCTGTGACAACTGGTTGTAGGTGAATCTCCGAGGCCCGGCCCCCATCTCGAACTCATCGTCCATTTCTCCATGGAGGTGGAGAGGAGCCCCTTGCGTTTGGTTGGTGCCCTTTCGTTTCAGGTATTTGTTGTAGCTGAGCCATGCTGCTACAATGAGTAGTATGACGATTCCTGTAGATGCCAGTCCGGCTATTAGGCCTATGTTTCGCATCTTTGATGTTTTGGTTCCTGTCATTTAATAAAGATGCATAAATACCAAAACCACTGATTCAAAAAAAAAACACTGCAGAAGCTTATAAAACACACATCATTGGCTTATGAGCATGCTCCTCGGTACTCATAAAGAAAGTCGTTTTGGACAGCGACACGGTCTCCAAAACACAACTTTAACTTCTTGTTTCAATAAAAATATTTATCAAAAAGTGATATATGTATATTTTTATGAAAGTATTTTTCAAGACAAATCTATTCATATAATTTTCATATTTTCAAACTCAACCACTTGAGAATTATTCATGATTTATATTTCCAAGGTTTGACTCAAACCTTGTCCTAAACGACTTCCTTTACGGAGGGAGTACACATTTCCCCAGTGATTTGTCAACAACACTATGTATATATAGTGAGAGTGCACAAATCATGCATCGAAGATAGATAAAAACATTGTTCACAGATTTATTTACGCATTTGATTTCAGCGAAGCAATGCACACTTATGTTCACAGATTACATAAGATTCATATTATATATTGAGCAACGCGAATTTCTAATCTAATAGAGAGAAAAAAGGAGAAATAACAAAGCTACAAGCAGGGAAAGGCACTTGCCGGTCGTGTTGGCAACGGCGACTCTGACGAGAGTGGACTCGAACGACCACGAAAGGATCTGATGCCGCTCGACTAAATCTCCGGTGGCTCCGGAGAACCCGACCGCCGCCTGCTGCGGCAGCCCAGCTTCCTTGAAGTCGACGGTCACACTGGCGTTGTGAGAGGCTGCCCTAGCCGCAGCGGTCACGTCCTGCAAGACCAGTCTGGTAGGGGCGTAGCCAAAGTGACGCTTGCAAGATAGGCGACACGTCAGGCGAGCCACGGGCGCTGGGACCGGCAGCCCACGGGCATGGCGGTCTGGCAGGGGCACGGGCAGGGGCGGCGGTCATCGAAGCGGGCGGGTGTGTGGGCGGCGGGCGGGGGCTAGAGGGGACGGCGTGGCGTGGGAGGCGGCGTGGGCGGGCGCTGGGCTGGGGGCACGGGCACGGCACGCATGGCGAGTGTTGCACTAGCCTACTAAAAATACAAGCCACCTACCACAATTCTAATTTATATAGTCTCTATCCACACAATAGCTATGTCACTACACTAAGTTAGTGTGCTCTCAAAGGCTAACTGAAGAGTCACACTAACCAAACTAACAAGCTCTCACAACTAGCTACATTAAAGAGCTTGATAACTAGTTTGCGGTAATGAAAAGAGATAGAGCAAGATAGTTATACCGCCGAGTCGAGGAATGAACCAATCAATCACAAGAATAAATACCAATGAAGACCAATCACCTTGGAATCAAATGATGACACAATGATTTTTGACCGAGGTTCACTTGCTTGCCGGCAAGCTAGTCCTCGTTGTGGCGATTCACTAACTTGGAGGTTCACGCGCTAATTGGCATCACACGCTAAACCCTCAATAGGGTGGCGCACAACCAACACAAGATGAGGATCACACAAGCCACGTAGCAATTTACTAGAGTACCTTTTGGCTCTCCGTCGGGGAAAGGTCTACAACCCCTCACAGTCACCATGATCGGAGTCGGAGACAATCACCAACCTCTGCTCGACGATCCTCGCTACTCCAAGCCATCTAGGTGGTGGCAACCACCAAGAGTAACAAGAGAATCCCATAGCGAAACACACCAAGTGCCTCTAGATGCAATCACTCAAGCAATGCACTTAGATTCTCTCCCAATCTCACAAAGATGATGAATCAATGGTGGAGATGAGTGGGAGGGCTTTGGCTAAGCTCACAAGGTTGCTATGTCAATACAAATGGCCAAAAGAGTGAGTTAGAGCCAGCCAAATGATATTTATAGACACCTCCAAACAATAGAGTCGTTGGCTCAATTATTAGGCTAACTGCGGGACGACCGAACGCATCGGTCATGTGCACCGGACGTGTCTGGTGTGGCGACCAGATGCGTCTAGTCGCTGTGTCCGGTCGTAGCCTGACCGCCACGTGTCCCTTTCAAATTGTTTAGCCATTCGCGCCCACCGGCTAAAACTACGTGATCAGACGCGCTGTTAGAAAACGACCAGACACGGGAGACGCAACGTCCAGTCGAGTCCAGAGAGCTCCCAGAGCCGCTTTAGGCTGACCGGACACGTCCGGTCACACCAGACCGGACACTCCCAGCGTCCGATCAATTATTGCGATGAAAACCCGAGACTTGCTGGTTCACACCGGACGCGTCCGGTGTGGCGACCGGACGTGTCCGATCGCTGCGTCCGGTCAAGACATACACAAAAACTAAAATACCCTGTGAGATCAACATTAGAAGTAAGGGTCTAGTTTTCATGATATGAGCATGATTCTAGTTACTTAACATATGCATGCTAGTTTTTCATTTTATCATTCAAATCTACAACTAGCATACACCACACAAGCATGGATATTGAAATTTAAAACTAGTGCCATGTAAGCAAACATATGAAATGCACATTCGAATGCATCAATCAAGTTTTTGAGCTTGCTCCCCCTACTTGTGTGCTCAAAAGTTAATTGATCTCCTTACTTTGTCATATCTCCCCCCTATGTCAATTCCCTTTACTTTGTCATATCTCTCCCCTATGTCAATTTCTCCCCCTTTGTTGTCTTTTTACTATCTTTGTACACTATTTCTCCCCCTTTGTCATCAATGACCACAAAGGCTTAAGTTATAGATAAGTTGAGATTATAAATGTCAATCAATGGGATGAGGATCATTTTCCCAAATTTGGTTCAATCTAGAATACTTGCCAAAGATATTTAACTCGGTTTGATTCAAGGACAAGCTTCTTCACACCTTCAAATAAGGGTTATCTTGTACCATGTTGAGTTAAACACTTATAACTCATTTTCTAGATCAAACACTAGGTTTACAAGCCCACAAACATGTCATATGCTACCACTAGACCAAATTAAGCATAGAAGCAATAGTGGTACCATACAAACATCAAAATCATTTGATTTTCATGAATGAGCCTATCAAATGTGAAAGATGACTAGATGCACTAAATATGTCCTTAGTAAGAATTTTTGCCATGCCAATCAACTTTTACCTTGAATTGCTCGAAAGAGAGGCATGTCATTTAAGTGGGGAGTGCATCAACACATATTTGAGAAATCCAATATGTTCAACTTATTCCTTAGCTTGCAAAACCTTTTCTCATCTAATGGCTTGGTGAATATATCGGTAAGTTGATCTTCGGTGCCTATCCTCTCAATGCAAATGTCCCCTTTTTGTTGGTGATCTCTTATGAAATGGTGGCGAACATCAATGTGCTTTGTTCTTGCATGTTGAACGGATTGTTGGTTAACTTGATTGCACTTCGTTGTCACATAGCAATGGCACTCTCTTGAACTTGATTCCAAAGTCATTCAAGGTGGCCTTCATCCAAAGTATTTGTGCACAACAACTATCGGGGGATATGTATTTGGTTTTGGTGGTTGATAATGCAACACTATTTTGCTTCTTTGATGACCATGAAACAAGTGATCTTTCCAATAATTGACATGTGCCCGAGGTGATTTTCCTTTCAACCTTGCATCCCGTATAATCCGAGTCGGAGTAACCAACTAGCTCAAACTTTGCTCCTTTGGGATACCACAAACCAATATTTTGTGTATGCTTCAAGTACCTCAATATTCTCTTTATAGCCTTCAAATGACTTTCTCTTGGTGAGGCTTGAAATCTTGCACACATGCATACACTAAACATGACATCCGGCCTTGATGCGGTCACATAGAGTAGGCTTCCAATCATAGACCGATACAATTTTTGATCCACCATATTGCCACTTACATCACTATCCAAGTTACTATTTGTTCCATTGGTATACTAATGGCTTTGCTATCACTCATGCCAAACTTCTTGAGCATGTCTTTGATGTACTTGCCTTGACTCACAA